AGACGATAACAATATCAATAGAATGGGAATATTGGTCATGGATGTTTATATAAGTTATGGGAAATACAACAAGTAACTTGATAATATATATTTCTTATATTTCAGATAGGATCGGGTCGAGATACTGCATATAAAAAAGAATTATTTAATGGAGAGGCGTACGTGTTGACATCTTTCTGTGATGAGCACGGGGATGAACATGTTATGTGATGTTAGATATGGTATGATTGCACCGCATATTGCTACACTCCAACACAAAACTGTGTCAGTCACATCTTGTCAAAGGAGAATATTGCCTATCATATCTTACTATCTATCATATGTAAGAACTACTTTCTACAAGGAACGCCGTGTTGATATTCTGCATGATCTGGGTGAAGGTGAAACTCAACAACTCATACCATTCAACATACCACTAACTGGTACCAGTGTGGTAACCATAACAGTAACTTCTGTAATAGACTTTAAAATCAACACGATGAAAATTCCAATAGACTTATAATCAAACTGTATTCATATTTGTGATTTTTCTTTTTTCTATGAACTTTGCATGTAGGTCTCTTCAGACTAGTTCAAAAATTGAATTATGGGCTCTCATTCCCAGGTAGAGAACATGAACATGTAAACCCCTATTGAGATGACATATGTTTCTGATTGGTCAAAATCGAAAAACAAAATGTCGTCCTCAAAACTTTCGAAATACGCTTCGATATATATATTTTTTGTTCATTTTTTGCATGTTGACCAATATCATAACTTTATATTTCACATCAACATAAATATAGATGTACACAATATGCCTACATGAATTTAACACCACATCAGGGTGTACATATGCCATATTTTGTCTTCCATGGATAATGAATAAAAATCGTTTATCAAAGTTTATCGAGAGTATATGATTTTGACCACTCCAACAAGAATTTTGATATGTCATTAACCTTATCATATTTATATTTATTATAATCATAAAAAACAATGCTAAATTGTGATTCTTCCAATGTATGAAGACTGTACGATCGCTTCGAAAAGAATTATCTCAAATAGTAACATTCGAGTAGAATGTGTGCATGTAGATGTGTAAAACTATGCATTAGGTTAGTGTTATAACATACCTATGATGATGTATAGTGCAAAGTGTACACAAGACAGCGGGCCAATATAAGTTTTAAAAAGCCTGCGCCCGCTAAATTTTTGATTGGTCAAGGCGCTGACGTCATAACCAATCAATCGAAGATAAAACTGCGCGAGCAATTTTTCTAAACTCGTTTCAATCATTTTCAAACCATTTGTTTGTCAATTCTATAAGAAAACGGTACTCTCTGACCAGTCTACATCATCATAGGTATGTTATAAATCGTTTATGTCACCATCGTGGCACATATGCCCTCGGTTCTCAGAGATCAATGTCCCTCCCAAGGTCGGGCCATATATCACTGAGACCTCGGGCATATATGCCACGATAGTGACATAACCTCTAATTATAAATCTTTTACTTGTCATAGTAATCAAAAATAAGTATCAGATTTTTACAGTGTTTTATATTGCATCATGGCATTTACAGACACTCACAAAGTTACCATTGTAGTGATTGTACAAGTAGCTACGTTAGGCTACACAACGGGGCTTCACAGATGTACTTACGATGGTACTAAAAATAACACATATAGAATACGATAAAGCGCTGAATGTAGACTCAGTTGAGTTATTGTTCGGGGATAATCATCACTGGTGATCCACTCGATTACGCTGGTTACCAAAACGATTCGTTTCGTTTTGGTAACAAAATGTCGGAACATCGAAGGTACGATTTTACTTTTTTACTTATTTCACACGTTGTAGGCAGAATTCCGACGACATTTTTAATACAAACGTGTATCAGTATCATATGTTTAAGAAAATGTACATATTTGCGAACAAATAGTTCAGAAGACAACAGAATCGTCGATTTAATTTCTCACTTAAGTTACATAAACGGTTTTTCGAAAAACAGTTAAGATCTGCACTTAAGTGAGGAATTAAATCGACGATTCTGTTGTCTTCTGAGCTATTTTTTCGCAAACATGTACATTTTCTAAAACATATGATGCTGATACACGTTTGTGACAAAAACGTCGCTGGTATTCTGCCTACAACGCGTGAAATAAGGAAAAAGAAAAATCGTACCTTCGATGTCCGACATATTGTTACCAAAACGAACCGTTTCGGTAACCAGCGTAATCGAGCGGATCACCAGTGATCATTGTACAACTAAAATTAATTGAATTCAATTTTTGAATTGAAACAAAATACAATAATAATGTTAACATATAGAGTATGTTAAATAGCTAATGAGTCCTGATAAATCATGACATCTTATTTCTTCTCCAGTCCTAAAACTGTGCATCTGTGCCTTTGCTAATTTATATGTGGTTGAATACAATGCCTATTATGTAATGGATTGACATTAAGGTATATGATAACTATCATACTTATTGACAGTTATAACACATCCCATCTGATGTGTTCAGATCACAGAATATGCCTAATAAAATCAAAGCAAGTTTCGGTTGAAACAGAAGGATGTTATGAGTATCGAAATGTAATGAGTGGCTATTGCACTAGGCCGTGTGGGCTCACCGTTCGGAATATCCTGCTTTAAAACTATTTGATTAGCCAACCGTATGTCCATGTCTAGCCCTGCCATCTGCAAAACGTATCCATACTGTAGCGAACGGTGAGCCCACGTGGTCTAACGTAACAGCTCCATAAAGTGTTGAAAGATTGAATTTAATAAAAAAGAAATTATATTGCATAAACGTGAATTTGCATTGTGTTTCTAGTCCTATACATGTATTCCATTAGAAAGTTTTAGAGAACGTCTTCTTTTAGACGGAATTCATAGACATATACAGTACCATTATACAAGAGATGAGCAGTCTGTAGATATTCGTTAATTGGTTATCCCACATTTGCTCCGATTCATTGCCCGGCGGCCGACAGATTAAATATTCTGTTCAAAACTGAATGCAATTGTCAGCAGGATACTCAATCGGCCGTACGCCGGCCGATAAATCTGAGCAAATGTGACCAGGTGTGAAAGAAATGATGGTCCCCCAGGGATTATGGTCCCCTTTCTTAACGGCCCTTATTGGCCCAGATTGCGTATAAGATAATGAGGGAAAGAGTTTAGGTCACCATATAAATCAATGGAGAGTAGGACCATAATTGATAGAACCTCCTACCCGTTTACACCAGGCATTAATGTTTTTATCCATCCTTGTATAGATATGCTTTCGTTGTTAATATTGATTCACTATTTTATAAATGCCTCGCATCTTATGAACTGTAGCTAGTTTTGAATAGATAAACCCTGGTAAGTTCTTAAAATGCTGCAATTTCAATTAGGGGCAATTCTTCATATATCTTTTGGACATAAGTTTCAGCCAGTCTAAGATTTCCCTTTTCAATAATATGTATTATAATAGCCCGCTTGGAATTTTAATCCTATTTCTGCAGCAACGCTAACTATACTTTATCTGTAAAATGCCTGTATTTCATATTTATATGATTGTTCCATTGTTTCAGATGGAATTATGATAACAATTTCCATTTGCTTGAAAAAGATTTATTAAATAAGAAATATTGCAGACCAAAACATTTTGATACACATTTATATGATGAAAATGTTTAACAAACATAAATGGCCGTCAATAAACTAGAAAAATAAAATAAATGAATAATTTAAGTAGTCCTGAATGGCTTATCACCACTTTCAAGTTATTTATTCCGTGGCACTGGATTTGTTAATTATACTACGGATCGTAACTGATTATTTCGGTCATATCATGTCGAATGTCTTTAACTGGTAAATAGGGATATTACGACCTGCCCAGTTCATGTACAACTAACTTACCGCAAGTTAGTCGACAAGTGAAATGGTTCCAATAAGCGATGTTTCAAAAATATATGATTTTCTATCGTTTTACGTTTTGGCGAATATAAACTAAAGAGGTTACTTCGCTAGAGCTTTTGAATTCTTCTATTAATTGGTAAAATACTTGTTTTCTCTTCAAAGTACAGTCAATCGTATATTACATATGAATTATCAATATATACAATCAAAATCAAAACGTTAACGAACATGTATTCCAAGAACCCAATTTTCTTCAACTTATGATATTACAAGCAACACTATAATCTTACAATTGCCGAACAGCACCCATCTGGACATCCTTTTCTTCATTTGATACATATTTTATAATGTAATTTACATTTTGATTGTGAAAATTCTCCCGGCGCAACGTCTGCCGGTGATCGGTTGGCAGTTGAAAAATACCGTAATCGGTAGGCACCCATAAGGTGAATCTGAACTTATGTGAGCAAAGCATAAACGATAAATCATGATCATAAATCATGATACGCAGGTAAACCGAGAATGCGAGATAAAGGTACGTTTTAATAAATCCGTAACCCATTATTTTGTAGCTCCCAGTGTGAATAACGTAATGCGTTAATTTCAGTCAAAATCAAATAATTCGATGGAACAGCATTTCCCTCTATAAACTTATCATCGGTTCAAAACCATAACATAATGGGTCAAACCTCAGGAATTCCCGGGGATCTCAGCCCCCCTATACTTTAACATGGAAAAATTGATGAATGGGGAAAAAAAATATTTCTGATCAGTTAAACAAATATGTGTTCACATTATGTAAGACTTTAGATAATTAAAGACCTAGAAACAAAATATTTTGTTTCTATAATTATATAAAGGGCATTATATTTAACCACAAAGAAAGGGTTAAACCTGAAAAACGAGTTCATCGATTCGCCAAAAAGGTTGTAGAAAAATCCATTTTGATGATTCAGAAATAATATTTTAGAATATGAAAATTCACCTCATCTCCTAAATTGTGTTACAATTTTATATTGATCATCGAAATAATAAAAAACTTATACCCGTCTAAAAAGCTCTCTCTATCGAGCCTCTTCCTTTGAAGAATAATAAATTTTCTTACTCAGTTTTTCATTAGGTTTGCAGATATCAAGAGTGTATATACCATTACATTCATCTTCCTGTTTCTTATCCATTTCTGAAAAAATATATAGATGTTAGACATTGATCTCTCAAACATTAAAGCAAGTGGGCCCAGCACCCTCTGGGATTTTAAAACAGGCACCTGAGATTTCATTTGTACCCACTTGAAGATGAGAAAAAAAACATGTAAAATTGGCAAATTTTGACCAATTTTGGCCTTAATTGTGAAAATGAGAATTTTGCACCTACTTGAGAAAAAATCCTGTGGAGAATACTGTTTAGAGAATATAAGTCAATATTTTATTGTTTCTAAAAGTAATGGAAGTAAATAAATGAGAATAAGAAAATTGATTTGAACTTTTCATTTGTTTTATAGATCAATTCATAAGCTTTTCACCTTTTACTTCCTTTTTAACTATAAACTATCTATTTATTCCTATGTGTTATTCCTATAAATGTGTTCCTCTTGTTTTTGTTTCATGTACAGGTTGAGCCAATAAAAATTGAATAAATGGAAAAATGTTCCAATTTTTATTGGCCCACCCTGTACATCAATATTATCTTACTCTTCATAGTGTTCTTAATCCAGCCATTGTTTACAAACTCAGCAATACTTGTAAACCTATCCACTCCACTCCTAGGGGAACTTTCCGTCAGCCCTATTAAACATGCTTTCTCAGTTCCATTCATATCCTTTCCTGGTATAATCCAAGGCCCTCCTGAATCTCCTTTACCTGTTATCTCTGGACGGATAATACAATCGATATCGGAACATCTTTGAATTTGATCTGCTCGCTTTTTGAGAGTGCTCTGCTTTTTCCCTTTCTTTGAAAGTAAATTGTGTCCCCATCCGTAAGTCGTGATGTCCCATCCTTTCATTGGCGGTTCATCTGATAGGCATATCGGCTGAATTTTGCTGCTGTAGCTCAATGGGGTTGAGAGTCGTATTAAGGCTATATCTGGTATCCAGTCAGTTTTATATGCAGCATCTTTGTGAATATTATAGGTGAAAGCATTCTTTTTTCTTCCACTTCTGTAAATCGTGCCATGGTTAGAGAAATAGCTGTAATGAATCCCAAGGAAGATCTTGTTGATTGGTGCCCTGAAAATATTTAAATTATATGCAGAGTTCATTGCAGGCACAAATGTGGATTGGAAGTTCCCATTTCTTTACAATTTTGCAAAAAATATGCCAGTTTTTGATTTTTTCATTTAAGTTGGTGCAAACAGTTTTTTAGGTGTTCAAGTAGGTGTAAAGATGATAGCCCGAGAAAATTGAAGGATATCGTATTTATCCTATGGGTGCTGTTCTTGTATTGAATTAAAATAATTTGATCTAAAGATTGAAATATCTGCTCCAAGTCCTATAACATTTGATTCTCAGTGAGCCAGAGCTTGTACTCACTGCCATCTTTTTAAGAAGGTTTTGTGAACAAATCTTGCAAATAATCTTGCCAAATGTCTATCATGTTCATCCTTATTTCAAAATGTCAAATATTCTTCAAGAAATTGTCAAACCGTTTTCGGCAATATAATTCAAAACTAGAAAAAAATAGTATCCATCAGATACGATTGAATATCATGTATTGTGTTTAAAGTGTGTAATAACAGATGAGAGATAATTGATAAAATGCCAGAAATAACTATTTCTAGAACATATTAATTATTTCAATAAAGAATTGAATCTCTCTATATATATGTCTATCACTTCCGAACGCTGGATAATGCATAGCTATATCTGTTATTATTTCTGGAAGAAATTTACAAGTTTATTAATCTCAAATATGATGATCGGAACATTCCACAAAACATGGCAAACATTTATAATAAAGAGATTAACAGAAGCATTTTTGAAGAATTGAGATATTGGGTCGTATTCCTATGCCAAGATGCAATAATATTTACCCTAATGTAAAACAGTGCGCTGCTGTAATAATATTACAATTGTTTATGATGACCCCGCCACAAAAGCCACCTTTGGGATCAGTCAACAAAGCCATCCATGGGTGCTCATCCACCTCAGTATTCTCATCTGAAGAAGGTGATATATTCAAAATTGATTATATGTATATTTCATTTTCAAATACTCATAAAGTCAGGTGCCATAGATTTACAGTTCTATTGTTCAATTTACAGTTCTATTTTTCGAAATGTATATATTGAGTGAGAAATGTTAACGAGGGTGCAAATCAACAACACAATTAATATATAATTATTATTAAGTATATCTTACTTGGTTCAATAATTCGTTTTTGTTTTGTCCTTCCGTGCGTCCCCTCTACCAGCATCAAAATTAATATATAATGCAAACTAGAAAACATGGTCTTTTCAAATCAATTTTATTTCCAATATTTTAGATACCTTTAAAACTTGTCAAATAAGTTATAAAAAAATGTTTATTTCATGTTAATTCATGAATCCAAATAAATTTTATTGGAGTTTTCATTTTAATTGAATGTACTTTTTTTTATTAATGATTTCCTTCAAAAATGTGGGTTTGTTATAAATTGTTAACATTTTCATGAATGCTATCCCTATGAAATACTTGAAATTCAATGGTTTAAATCATTTTTCAATAATGTAAAAAGCGTTGTTTTTGACAAGCCTTTGTTGGTGCCTAATAAATTTAGATTAGTTTTTGTATTGTTTGCGAAATTAACCTTGAAAATTTTGTTTGAACCTGTATATGAGTATCTAATACTTATGGGACAATAATTTAGTGAAGCTTTTGATATTAATTCATTATAAGATACTGCAAATGCTTATGTATGCAAGTAGTCAAACTAAAATACTTACAGTGTTTCTAGTTTCTACAGACCTGAAAATGTCAGGAAATTGTATTTAATTTTCAAGCTCCTGGAAATGTCAGGTTATTTTAACCAAAAATGTCAGGTAATTTTGAAATAAAAAAGGTGCTAGGTAAATGTCAGGGAATGTTTATCAAAGCTGAAAAGGGAAAGTCTAAAATATCATTGATACAAATAGTTATTGACATTGAATACATGGACTTTATAGAGGTAGTTCAAAGCAAACATGAAAATTGGAAATGTCAGGGAATTTTATTCTGAAATGGTTGAATGATGAAGAAACCTGGTTTAAGAGTACATTCAGCATAGTGAGGAATTTGTATCAACTCATACTGATGTAAATTTGTACACTATTGATTCTTAAAATTAATTGTAGAACCATTATTATATAACAAAATATAAGCGCTTTCTTTTCAATGTAGTCTAGATGTAGTTAAAAAAATTATGTTACACTGCAACATATGCCCATTGGGTCTCTTAGTCGCATGTTTTATAGTATATTTTATTTAACAAATTGTGAAATAAATTGAATTGAATTGATTAGAATCACTTGCAATTTTAAACCTTACACACATGTGAAAAAGGCAGCTTCATGTCTTCTCGATGAATGTGTAATATTGAAAAAATCTCCACTGTTATAATTATATTAGTTACATATCCATAAACTAAAATCCTAAACTATTTCAATTTGATACAGGATAAGAATTTCTTTATTACCAAATCTTATACATGAAAATATATATTTAAGATAATTAATATAAAGTAGAACATGTACTATTATTGTTATTTTTTTATTGTTTTTTCTAATCTTTTGTTTCTTCCTCTTTACAGTGTTAATCTTTTTCCATTGTGTCTTATTTGCTTCAAGTCATTGAAACTGTATGTCACATCACAAAGTCTCAGATGCCACGTCAATGTATCAATCATCCTGCTGGAAAAAATAACATTTTATTGAAACATTTATATAAAAGAAGATGTTACATAATTAAGCCCCTTTGGTAGCTAAGAAATAAGAATAGAAAGTATTCAATAAAAGAGCGAAATTGAGTGTCTGAGTTTTATTTAATTGTTGGGAATATACACTTTTTAAAGTGTCACCCACTCAAGCATTGTATATTTGTGTGAATTTAAAAAAAGGAAATAAACATAAACATAAAGGCTGGATTTATGTGCAGAATGTTTGATAAAACAGCCTAAATCGAGGTAGATTAAGTCCAAGAGATGGAAATAAAATTAAATGTGTACAAGTCTTACTTGTAGGCCTACTTGTAGTCCCACTCGTTGTCCCGCTCGTAGTCTTACTTGTTTCCAATGAATCTGGTTTGCAGATGTCAAAATTTAATATGTTCTTACATGAGTCTTTGGATTTTGCATCCATTTCTAAAATTAGAATACCATCAGTACAATTATGTTTGGATATAACTGAACATATAGATTTTTATTTGTCATAGAATTTTGCATCTTTTAATTCAGTTAATTCACTAATACATGACCCTTAAGAAAAAAGCCATGGTAACCATGGTATTCCATGGTGCGTCCATGGTAATCCATGGTTTTTCATGGTATTTTCCATGGAAATTCATGGATACCCATGGTAATCTTCCATGGATATTTACCATGATTTTCCGTGGTAATTGGTGGTTTGGTAATTGTTTTTTCATGAACATGCCATGTTTTTACCATGACACTTGAGTTGTAAAATCAACAATTTTGGCAGGTTTTGTTTTTACCAAAATCTTCAAAATTGAATCAATATTTTAATGAATGAATCCAAGCTGGATTGAGAATTAGTCTCATTAATCATAGATAAAAGAATATGACACCCCCCCCCCCACCCCAAAATCTTTGAGAAAGTCAACCTTCTTGACAAAAGCTGGTTTCAGGCCTGAAATACAACCATGTTTTTACAATCTGAATATATGTTTAGTACATTCTGTACATAGTGTCATATGACAAAGAACTGTTTACTTAATTTTTTTTTAATTGATGATAATTTGATAATTTGTTTGCTGGGATTTGCTATCATTTAACTTTGGCACTTATGTAAAAAAGACAAAATAAGTGATAAAATCAGCTCACTGGATTCCCTTATTGCAGACTGAATAAACATTTTTACTTGAGAGTAAATCTTATTTGGTTTTATTTGATCAACAATGAGTTTTTGACTTGCACTGTCTACACTCACAGACAATAATAATTACTGAAGAGGGAGCATTAGAAAGAGTAAGATTATCATATATAATAACAATTAAGATCAGAATATTTAAGAATTATGCAAATTAACTCTTATAATCTGTTGTAAAGAGATTAATCTTTTGACATTAATTTGAGAGTTAAGACACCTAATTAACATAGAATAATGGCAACCAAATATTTAAAAATTATGCAAATGATTATTTATTCCTATTCAAAGACAAATCAATTTTAATTACTTATACTATGTTTCATGTTTTAAGCCAAATGGTGTTGTTAACCCCCTCCCCTTCCTTCGTGCAACTTCTTTTTAAATATAATATTCTTACATAGACAAATTGAATTTTTATCACTTAGGTATAACATTTCAGTTTGCAGCCATAGGCTTGTGTTTAATCCCCCATCTCAATTTCAAGTCTTAATTTGGAGAAGTTCATTTAGAAACATAATGTATTATTCATTTTTCTGCTTCCAAAAGACCAAACAAATAGCCCATGGAAAACCATGGACTTTCAAAAGATCAAAAGAATAATCATGGAAAACCATGGCTTTTGATTGCACTTTCCAAAACATCAAAGAAATAACCATGGAAAAGCATGGCTTTCGATTGCAATCAACCGTCTTCCATGGCTTTTGATTGCAGTTTTCTCAACTTCAAAGAAAGAAACCATGGTTTTTGATTGTATTCTCAAATGTACGAAATGTAATTTAAGAAAATGAGTTATTTATTTCTTAAATTACTTCATATTGATTTTTAAAACTGAAAATTAAAGAAAGTATTAAAATAAAACAGAGCTTGGGCTAGATTGACTTAATCTTTTTCAAAGGAAAGAAGTGTTTGGCCTAGAAAATAAGCAATCTCTATCTAGTCTTGATCTACACAAAAGACCTTTGCACAATTGTTTTTGAAATCTTGTGGCCTACTCTCTGCTCTGCTGTTTCACATATTTTCTCATTTGTAAGCTGAGTCTAACATTCGATGAATGTTCTTGCTATACCTTCAAAATGAAATATCCACCCTTTTTTCTCAATGATAAGTCTCAGTCTAACTGTGATATATCATCAAAACATTCATTTCGGAGATTTTGGTAAATACAAATCCTACCAAAATTGTTGATTTTACATCTCCATGACACATCCATTAAAAACCAATTACCAAACCAACAATTACCACGGAAAATCATGGTAAATATCCATGGAAGATTACCATGGGCGTCCATGAATTTCCATGGAAAATAACATGGAAAACCATGAATTTCCATGGAAAACCATGGATTACCATGGGCCATGGAATACCATGGTTACCATGGCTTTTTTCTTAAGGGAATTACTGTACTTCTACTTAATTTGGTGGATCCGCCAAATTGGTAAAGTCCACCAATAAGAAGCTGCCAAATTCCCAGTAATTTGAACCTTTGTAAATAAGTACCAATATTGCATTGTAATGTTGCAAGTCTGCCAAATTAAGTAACTGCCAAATGTTCAAAACAGCAAATCCACCAAAATAAATAGCACCAAATTAAGAAGAAGTACAGTAAGAGGTGTTATATCATACTATTTATTTATTTATTATATTATCATACTCTCATCATATTCTTACTCTTCATTGTGTTCCATATCCAACCATTGTTTACATATTCAGCAATATTTGTAAACCTATCAATTGTACTTCGAGGGGAACTTTCCGTCAGCCCTATTAAGCATGGTGTCCTTTTTCCATTCATATCCTCTCCTGATGTAATCCAAGGCCCTCCTGAATCTCCTTGACCTGTTATCTCAGGTATGACTGTACAGTCAATGTCGGAACATTGTGTGATTGTCTCTTTTCGCTTTTTGAGAATATTCTGTGATTTCCCTTTCTTCAGTGAATGATGTCCCCATCCATAAGCGGTCAAATTTAATCCTTCTTCTGGGGTATTACTTGATAAGCATATTGACTGGATTTTGTTTTCGGCATATGTTAATGGGTTTGAGAGTCTGATCATGGCAATATCTGGTATCCATTGATTATTTTTTGTTGCCTTTTCATGTATTTTGTACATAAAAGTATTCAAGCTTCTCCCTCTCGTGTAAATGGTACCGTGGTTCAGAAACTTCCGTTTATGTATCCCTAGATTAACTTTGTTTATTGGCTTCCTAAGACATGTATATGGGTAATCAAAAAGTTCTCAGAATGTCTCTCTTGAGTGTTATTTCTTTTTTTCAAGATTATGAGAACTTTTTGATCACCCCTTGTAAGTCTGCAAACAAGGCCATAACAGTCAAATTAAAAGCAGCAGTCAGTGGATAAGATATATGAGAATACAATATACTGTATACTCTATAATTGAAAAACATGAAAAAAGGATGGAACGGGTTGATTTTGAAGGTAAAAAGAAAAATTTTCCTCTCATAATGGCGATGTTTTGAGGTCATTTATATAACAGAAATATTTACCCTAATGTAAAGCAGTGTGCTACTGTGAGAATAAAACATCTGTTTATGATGACCCCGCCACAAAAGCCACCTTTGGGATCAGTCAACAGAGCCATCCACGGGTGCTCATCTACCTCAGTATTCTCATCTTAAAATACAAGTAGAAGCTCAAGTGGGAAAAGGGAGAAGATCAGAGAGCATTTTCAAACACATCAAGAAAAAGAAACATTTGAACATAACCAGTCAAATTATGGCAAAAGGGGAAAAATAAAGAGCATTAGAAGACACAGCAGGAAAAAGAAACATGAAAGAGTCCAACCAGTTGTTGCAAAGGAGAAAACCAAAGAATATTAGAAAACACAGGAAGAACAGGATATATTAAAAGAGCCAAATCAGTTGTAATATTGGCAAAGGAGAAAGAGCATTATAAAGCGACGCAAGAAAAAGAAAGATTAAAAGAGCAAATCACTCATAATATAGCAAAAAAGAAACAGCCAAAATGTATTGAAAACAAAACAAGAAATATAAACATTGAAGTACAATGTTATATGACAAGAGGGAAAACACAGCAAGTAAAAGGAAACATCAAAGGAAAAGGATTATTGAAGATATATCGAAAAAAGCAGTGCTATCATTAAAATAAGAATGCCTAAAAATCTTTAAAAATCAAAATGTCTTACGTGGTTGAATAATCCTTTTTTGTTGTCCATGTATCCCTTCTAACATCATCAATATATATAATATATACTGTAATATAACTATAGAACACATAATTACTTATTAAAATTAATCCTATCCTTTTTTTCTACAAGAATTTATCAAGTAAGCTAGTTCAAGATCAATTCCTGGTCTAGGGCGCTAAATGAAAATCAGGAACTTAATCAATCAAACTGATATACTTCCTTTGTGAATGATTTATGGTTGATCATGAAATTTTTCATCATGTTTGTAAAAATGAAATATAACATAATAAATTATTCTCGCTCATGTAAAATTGTATTGTGTTTTATGCATATTTTTATTAGTTTTGTTTAGTTTACTTTTCATTTAATCAAGTTTTGAGTTGTATTGTGCTTGCTTCCTCTTGTTCATTTTTCATTAAATAGCATGTCAAATTGAAAGCAGTTTCATCTATCACACATCATTTGAGACTGAATACTCTATCTTTTATGAGTACTAGTATCTACAACTATTTTTGATGTTATGAGTATTGGCTATCAATTTTTTCAATTTTTCTTTAACATGTATTGTAATGACTTTAATATGAATGAAATGTCCCTTGGTGTTCTGGTCCTGGATTGTGATATTGGTTCTCGATTGGAGGGGGGAGGGGGATGTTAGACATTGTTTCTTTTCACGTTAGATTATGGTTTTGGGATATATAGGGTCTACTTTTCTTATGACAGATTTACACTTACAGTTTGCTTTTCTTGTTGGGTTTCTTTAAAGTTTTTGTCACCCTTCCCTTTGGCATTTGTGCTTATATATTCATGGTATTATGGAAACCAATCAAAATACAAATATGTGAGGATACAGGCACTAATGAAAGTAACAGGTATAGTGATTGCATTTTGTTTATTCTGCAACAGTTAAATCCAAATTTCCCATAATTTTCCCATAATTTCCTCATACTTTTCCCATGTTTTAGGACTAGAGTGTAAAAAAGTACAAAGTTTGAAAATATTTTATGTTTATGAAGTCTTGTTAGAGTTTTGGTTGCTATTGTAATATAACATCACAGTACCGTCCTTGGACAACCTTTCTTGAAACTTACATCAATGTAATGACCTCAGAGATAGTGCACTCCAGTGAATGTCCAATGCCAAGCATTGGTGTAAAAAGCTAGATTCAGACAAGAAATAGGCTAAATTGAAAAGCCCTTCACAGGAATCAAATTGAAGACCCTTTGATCCAATTTTGTTGGATGCGCAATCCAATCGACTGAGCTGCATAAACTTTGGTGATGGCAGCTGCGTTGTAGCAGCAACTCCCTATTCATTGTCATTATGATATGTAAAATACAAGTACTCAAGTATTCAAAAATCATACATATTTTAAAATAACATATAAACATTAAAAAAGTCCAGTTTATTACCTATACTGTACATTTTATTGAAAAAGTTTAGCTGGGTTTACATGTCTAGCAAAATACAGCCAATAATCTACAAAACTTATGCACTGAGGGAGCGAATCTGGCTTCCAGTTTCCCCTTGAAGTACATGAGACCTGTTTACTTCCAACGGTCACATATAAAGGACTGCACCCAACCGTAACAGTGTCTCCAGCTCTGCTGTTGAAGAGGGATCCACTTATTAATACCATGTTCTTTTTCATTTTCAGGTCTCTGCATTTTTTCTCTGAAATGAAGGAGATAAGATCTACACTACAAATTTTGAAACTTGATTTTGATTTTCTGTGTGTCATTTCTGACATATTGATAAAGTTTAGATTTTAGCTCTATAGACGCATTGAAAAATTTTCCATTAAAGAAACATAGAAAGGAAATGGTAGAATGAGCTAAATGTTAATTTTCTATCTTCTATTTTAGATCTTGGCCAACATTTTAATACTCAAATTCATAAATTATATGTTGTAATGTAAGGGATGTCGGGTCTTTATAATCCATAAATTTTGTTATCTCGAATGACTGAATTGAAATGAATTGAAAAGTAACAAAACGTGCAGAAGTCTCAGCAGTGCTAACAAATATCAAAAACAGTAAAATATAATGTACATACTAAGTTCTGCAGTATCTGGTTTGCAGATGTCAAACTTTAATGTGTTATTGCATTGGTCATGTTGATCTGCATCCATCGCTGAAATTGAACCCATTCTCTATTATATTTAAAATATAATATATATTGAATTTGATTATTTGTCATACAGCGTAGTGCTACAAAAACTCAAATTATAAATATACATTGATCAGGCTCATAATGACGATGAGAATAATTTACAAGTAACCAGTCTAAAGAATTTTATGATGTGCCTCAATAGAATTGGTGTAGTTCATGCTTAATCAGTTTTAGGTTTGAAATCTACCCTTAAGAAAAAAGCCATGGTAACCATGGTATTCCATGGTGCGTCCATGGTAATCCATGGTTTTCCATGGAAATTCATGGTTTTTCATGGTATTTTCCATGGAAATTCATGGATACCCATGGTAATCTTCCATGGATATTTACCATGATTTTCCGTGGTAATTGGTGGTTTGGTAATTGTTTTTTCATGATCATGCCATGTTTTTACCATGACACTTGAGTTGTAAAATCAACAATTTTGGCAGGTTTTGTTTTTACCAAAATCTTCAAAATTGAATCAATATTTTAACAAATGAATCCAAGCTGGATTGAGAATTAGTCTCATTAATCATAGATAAAAGAATATGACACCCCCCCCCCACCCCAAAATCTTTGAGAAAGTCAACCTTCTTGACAAAAGCTGGTTTCAGGCCTGAAATACAACCATGTTTTTACAATCTGAATATATGTTTAGTACATTCTGTACATAGTGTCATATGACAAAGAACTGTTTACTTAATATTTTTTTAATTGATGATTTGACCCCACAATTAAAAGTAATAATTTGTTTGCTGGGATTTGTTATCATTTAACTTTGGCACTTATGTAAAAAAAGACAAAATAAGTGATAAAATCAGCTCACTGGATTCCCTTATTGCAGACTGAATAAACATTTTTACTTGGAGTAAATCCTATTTGGTTTTATTTGATCAACAATGAGTTTTTGGCTTGCACTGTCTACACTCACAGACAATAATAATTACTGAAGAGGGAGCATTAGAAAGAGTAAGATTATCATATATAATAACAATTAAGATCAGAATATTTAAGAATTATGCAAATGAACTCTTATAATCTGTTGTAAAGAGATTAATCTTTTGACATTAATTTGAGAGTTAAGACACCTAATTAACATAGAATAATGGCAACCAAATATTTAAAAATTATGCAAATGATTATTTATTCCTATTCAAAGACAAATCAATTTTAATTACTTATACTATGTTTCATGTTTTAAGCCAAATGGTGTTGTTAACCCCCTCCCCTTCCTTCATGCAACTTCTTTTTAAATATAGTATTCTTACATAGACAAATTGAATTTTTATCACTTAGGTATAACATTTCAGTTTGCAGCCATAGGCTTGTGTTTAATCCCCCATCTCAATTTCAAGTCGAAATTCTGTAAAAGTATATACTTTTCTGTGGATTTTTTCAGATAATATGCTTATAAAAGTTGAATGGGACTTAATTTGGAGAAGTTCATTTAGAAACATAATGTATTATTCATTTTTCTGCTTCCAAAAGACCAAACAAATAGCCCATGGAAAACCATGGACTTTCAAAAGATCAAAAGAATAATCATGGAAAACCATGGCTTTTGATTGCACTTTCCAAAACATCAAAGAAATAACCATGGAAAAGCATGGCTTTCGATTGCAATCAACCGTCTTCCATGGCTTTTGATTGCAGTTTTCTCAACTTCAAAGAAAGAAACAATGGTTTTTGATTGTATTCTCAAATGTACGAAATGTAATTTAAGAAAATGAGTTATTTATTTCTTAAATTACTTCATATTGATTTTTAAAACTGAAAATTAAAGAAAGTATTGAAATAAAACAGAGCTTGGGCTAGTTTGACTTAATCTTTTTCAAAGGAAAGAAGTGTTTGGCCTAAAAAATAAGCAATCTCTATCTAGTCTTGATCTACACAAAAGACCTTTGCACAATTGTTTTTGAAATCTTGTGGCCTACTCTCTGCTCTGCTGTTTCACATATTTTCTCATTTGTAAGCTGAGTCTAACATTCGATGAATGTTCTTGCTATACCTTCAAAATGAAATGTCCACCCTTTTTTCTCAATGATATGTCTCAGTCTAACTGGGATATATCATCAAAACATTCATTTTGGAGATTTTGGTAAATACAAATCCTACCAAAATTGTTGATTTTACATCTCCATGACACATCCATTAAAAACCAATTACCAAACCAACAATTACCACGGAAAATCATGGTAAATATCCATGGAAGATTACCATGGGCGTCCATGAATTTCCATGGAAAATAACAAGGAAAACCATGAATTTCCATGGATTACCATGGGCGCACCATGGAATACCATGGTTACCATGGCTTTTTTCTTAAGGGTACATCTTGTTCAGAAATTCTATCATTCGAGTATGAGTTATAGCAGTATTGGAGAGTCAGTTTGGATATCGGGTTTAGCCCTTTGGAAACATTAACATCAATAAATATATATCCATCAGGATGAATTCTGTATTCTAAACCAACTGTAAATAACCCTTCTATATTTGTTTACAAGCTAGGATAGGTAAGAATTGAAAAAAATAATTAAGTAATATATTTTACTTTTCATTGTATTTTTTATCCAACCGTTGCTCACATATTCAGCTACATTCGTAAACCTATCAACTCCATTCCTAGGGGAACTTTCCGTCAGCCCTATTAAGCATGTTGTCTTGTTTCCATTCACATCCTTTCCTGCTGTTATCCAAGGCCCTCCTGAATCTCCTTTACCTGTGATCTCAGGTTGGATGACGCAGGAAAGTTTAGAACATCGTCCAATTTTATCTTTTCGTTTTTTGAGAATATTTTGAATTTTCCCTTTCTTTGTTATTAGGTGGTTCCCCCATCCATATGCGGTTACATTCCATCCTTTCACAGGTTGCTCATCTGATAGGCATATCGGTTCAATTCTGCCTTTGACGTATGTTAAGGGATTTGAGAGTCTAATTAAAACTATATCCGGTATCCAATCATTTTTTTCCTTTGCACTTTCATGGATTTTGTATGTAAAGGAATTTCTTTCTCTTCCCCTTTGGTAGATGATCCCCCTGTTGAGGTATCGCAAACTGCTCTTATGTGTCCCAAGAATCACCTTTTTAATCGGCTTCCTAGATGGCAAAATTAAGTAAGAATGATAAAAGAATGACTTCAAATAAATTGATGGAAAACACAAACAAAAAAGTAAGTTGTTCTTAAGAATCAGTCTGTTAGATTCTTTCACCTAGAGATTCCTTTGATTCCTTAACCTTGAGAGCTTTTGATTCAAATGTTTTCATTTTACAGAATGTAATTATAACTTTATGAGATTAAGTTTGGTTCATACTTAGTGCTAAGTAACATATTGCTGTAATTTTAAATTCCTCATAGATATATGATATTATTACCACCTTGCCGGGCCAGTTCTAGGGGTTTTAGTGCTAGTTAAGGCATTCATTTTACCTCATCGACCTGAAAAATGTGTGACGTCATAGTGGTGGTCCATATGGACCGGTCTAGAATATATTCTGGACCGGCAATTTTCTCCGGGAAATTAGATATCGTTCAGTGCGTAAGATTTTCTTGCTATTTCAGCCCTGGTCGTTAACGGTGGTAATAATATTTATAACGTCATTTCTACGAGCAATATAGTGTAGATATGTTCTAAAGGACTACCCTAATGTAAAGCAGTGTGCTGCTGCGAGAATATGGCATCTGTTTATGATGACACCTCCACAGAAACCACCTCTAGGGTCAGTTAGGGCAGCCATCCATGGATGTTCATCCTCTGTAGCATCTTCAGCTAAAATGAAATATTACAAAGGAGGTTTTTCGATATTAGGAATGAATTTAAAAAATCATGATTCACTGCAATATCGCTAAATAGTGTCATTATAAATAAAAAGAGGTGTTTCGATATTGGTAATGATCCCAAAACATGATTCACGACAATGTCACTAAATAGTGTCACTTATTATGTCAGTAAAATCAAAGCACGACACATACATTATTGAAGTGATTGTTGAAGTTCGCAATCTCTTTTTTACTTTTAACAATTTTGTCTGGACTTCAACGATACTCCAAATATATTCAATCAACTTTCTTGGAATTGTTTATCAAGTCTGGCTTATGAAATTGAGAATAGTGCATAGATTTTTCAGCATGGCTACCTCTTTTCTTGTCAAAAACAACAACTTTTGTCTCAAGATCTTAGTATCAATTGAATCCATTAAACTATTTGATCCATTAGTACCTTCAAAGTACTATTTACTTTCATTTTCTCAGCCATTTGTGATTTTTTTTCCAGAAGACTAAAAACCTAATACAACTTTCAAGATCAAAGTAAATTGCTTACATGGTTCAAGAATTCTCTTTTGTTTGCCTCCATATACCCCAGCTACCAGCAACAGTGTACGACATAAGTTTATTAAAAACAACATTATAGCACTATATCACCATATATTTTAACTTTTAAATCATATGTACAATTGCTATAATTCTCAACACCTGGACTATATTGATCATTTAGCTGTATAGAGCTTAACTCAAATAAATAATGATTTGTAAGATTAATAGAATGTTCTGTTGATATCAATTGTTGAATTGCGTTAATGCTGTTTGCTCGCATTGAGTCATGAGCATTTTCATAAATAGTATTTTAAAATAAAATTTGAAATATGTCATTTTTAATCATTCTCCTAATGTAGTATGATAATGTTTTTAACAAGGCTTTGTTGGTGTGTAAAATATTGAGATTTATGGGCATCACTTTTGAGTTGTGAGTTGTATGTGTTGTATCATCCATTTCTAGCATTCTACCATTTTGTCATACTTATCCATAAGCGACTGAATAGATGTAAGAGGTTTATTGTACACCAATTCTGTTAGCTGTTCCCATACGTGGTAGTCACAGACATTGGCATTGGGTGATCTGGGGGCCAGTGATAAGGGGAATAAATCTAGGCACATTCTCATTTGAATATTTGATTGTCTTGCGGGATCTGTGGCTTGTTATTTAAATCTCACGTAAGTTCTCTCATATATTTTCAGCATCAGTCCCAACTTGAGAGAATAGCGAAAGTCAACGCAGAATTACGACGCAAGTGCAATATCACACGTTCCCAGGCCTGTCATCTGATTGGTGAAAAGGTTGACCTTGAGACAGCTCTTCAGGACAAAGAGAAGCAGATTGTTTTGATCAAGGATACTTTGAGATGTCATGGAAGTCTCGAGTCCGATTCTCCAACTTCCCCAACATCGCCTGTAAGTATTCGATAAAATTACATAATGAACACTTGAACACTTTTCAAATAAACTTGTTATTATATTGTGGTTATGCAAGGTAGTTATAGAATTTAGAAAATACAATGCATTGTAAATTATACTGTAACTTACTTGTCATGATTCATAAGTGTCTTGTCATGATTTACATGTGTCTTGTCATGATTAAGATGTGTCTTGTCATGATTAACATGTGTCTTGTCATGATTCACATGTGTCTTGTCATGATTCACATGTGTCTTGTCATGATTTACATGTGTCTTGTCATGATTCACATGTGTCTTGTCATGATTTACATGTGTCTTCAATGTCTTGTAATTTTCTTGAATCATAGACAGCGGAAGAGATTGAAGAGAAGCTGAAAGACCTGGAAGACAAGTTGGTGATCGACAAGAAAGACCCGAATCGACCCCGATACACACTGAATGAACTGCGAGATGTTCTTTTGGAGAGAAATGAGTTGAAGACCAAGTTGATTGAGGTCGAGGAGGAACTGGAGTATTACAAGCCAAGGTATGCGTACTAAACTTTCATGTTATCATATTATCTTTCATATGGGTATGTACATCATGAAGATTTGACTGTGGTTAAATGTGGGGCTTTCTTTTTGGTTACAATGATTTTTTTTGGGGTGAGTTGTTTTTCATAAACTAGGGACTTTCATTTAGGATGATTTCATATAGGGGTATTATTTTCTTTTGTTTTTAATAATTCTTGGAGTAGATCAAATTCATTCTTAAGTTATATTTATTTATGATTTTTTGATAGTTTGTTATACCTCATTTTTAAGCTTTCTTGGTGTACAACGAATTATTTTAATTTTTTGATCGCTATAGAAACAATAATTTTGTTTGGTTTTAGTTACAGATTAAGCCACAGGCTTGTGATGTTAAAATATACGTTTAGCATTGCAACCTTGAACACAACAATTAGCACACATATGGTTTAGGTTATTAGCCTAGACACATTAATTTATCAAGCATTATTTCTGCTAAGCATACATATTAACTGTATTGGCCTTATGATATAATATTTTACGGGATTTTAATGGAATTTTAATGATGTCATTGCAATTAATGCATATATAGCTGTTGTGAAAGTGCTAGACTTAACAATATTGCATAGTTAGTTAAATATTAAAGTTTTATGTAATTTTTGAAAAATAAAGTAAAACATGTCATTCTGCATGGATCACATGAAATACTCAGTGTTCTCCCCAGGTTTTTTTTCTCAAATAGGTGCAAAATTCTCAATTTTCAATGTATGGTGAAAATTGGACAAAATGTGTTAGTTTTTTATCATTTTTATCATTTTGAAATGGGTGCAAATAAATTTACAGGGAAATGCAAACCTGTTTTAAAAATTTCAAATGGATGCAGTTTTCATATGTTTCAATGCTGGGGAGATTACTGCTTGTGAATTCCCATATATGTGAGTATATGATAGCTCCAAAATCATTTATAGTCTCATCTACCCTCACAATTCGCACATTGTCTAAATCTTGGAGTTGAAAAATTGAGTAATGTTAACAAATGATAGATTTGGAGTGATGGTGTCTGATCATCAACACTAGTGGAATAACGAAGATAGTTTCATTATGGGGAGGGGGTAAATGTTGGTTTTGTGAGCAAATAGTGATATTTTTTTTAATATTCAAGTGACATTAATCGACATTTAAAATTCGGAAAGATGAGTGGAGGGGGGGGGCAAACCATAATGAAATAACTTGAAATTTACATGTCTGTTGATAAGAACAAAACTGCCAAGATTTATCGATCATGGAGTTCTCATACTTACACATTTGTGGGAGTTTGCTACTGATGGTGGGAATTTAACATGAAAACCACTTTCATTTGTACATGAGTACAACATATATTGAACAACATTTCAAAGGAGGTTGATTTGGGACCAATGTACTGTAGCTTCAGTAATGGTGCATGATGGTTCAAGGTCTCTTGTGTCTCATTCCAGAATCCAGGTCTATTCAAAGTTGTGAATTCATCAACAGTTCATTGTATCATTGACAAATAGTACTACTTATTTATGACATGGAATTAGTATATCAGTTTTGAATTATGGTGTATCATTGTGATGATTGGTAATATATTGTTGTAATTAATGTTACGGTTAAACTAATCCCAAAGGGTATATTTTTCACCAAGGTGTACGTATAAATGATGAGGTGATAAATGATGAGGTGATCTGGCCTCTATAAATGTTACCAAAAAAGGATCAAATATAAGTGAAATGAATTATTTTGTCATTTAATCTTTTTATCCACCACCACTCTTTGTGGATAGTGTTTGGTGGTTTGTGCTTGGAGTTCAGTTGTTGGTGTTTGGTGTCTGATAAATAGCAGATGGTGACATTTTGCATGTTAATGCCTTGTCTTTTGGAGTTTTTGGTTGGTTGGTTGGTTGTTATCAGTGGTTTGACACTTTATGATCATATTCGTTATCAGGGCACTTAAATTTCTTTTTTTCCAAAACATTGATTTCACACTTACAGTTAATGCAACACCTTTGTCAACTTGGGACCTATTGTATTTATCTGTAAAATTCTACTTCATAGTGGGCTACACTGTTTTTATAAGTTCAAGTTTGAATGATATGAAATGATGTGGTATGATATGATATGATATGATATGATATGAAGCTTATGAGATTATATAGTGTAGGATTCAGTATGGACTGAATGGGGTGGTAACTTACATGGTCATAGCCAGGTTATGAAATTATGTGAGGCAAACCTCAATAGGTGAGGCAAATATTGTGTTGAGGCAATATAAAACCATCAATTTGACATTCATGGTTTCTATTGAAAAATATGATTCTGCCTTAAATGCCTCATGCCTGGCTGCGTCCATGCCTTATATGGGATGATATATACAGTGAAACCTGGAAAGTGGAACACCTCTAAAAGTGGAACACCTCTGTTAATGGACCTCGTTTCGGAGTCACAAGACCAACTGACTTTATGATAAATAAACCTCTATAAGTGGAACACCTCTAGAAGTGGAGCACTTTTCAGAGTCTCAAGACAAACTGACTTAATGTTAAATGAACCTTTATAAGTAGAACACCTCCCAAGTGGAACACTTTTTAGAGGTACCAAAGGTGTTCCACTTAGACAGGTTTTACTGTACTGTATAGAGAGATTTATCACTAATATTTGTTGTTGTTTTTTATATTATTATGAAGACCGTGGTAAGAATCAACATTCTTATTGTGAATGGTCGGCTACTGCATGAAAAACATGGAAATCCAGGCTTACTTTTTCATCTTTTTACTTGATTTTCATATTTGCTTGTCTTTTAACTATTACATTGGTTAACAAAAATATTGATTTTTAATTAATTTCAATTTTTCAAGATTTGATGTTTAGAATCTTAAAATTTTAGAAAATCTTGAAATGATTTAGATAATCATATTATATGCCTGGATCATCCTTATTATATTGTGTCAACATAAATCCTCCTTTGGTTTTACACATACTGGTCATGTGACCATATCTGACCAATCATATCTGGCAGATTTGATCACATGACCTAAATGTCTATTTTGTTACCTGATTGGTGAACTGAAAAACCAATGTGAAAGAATTCACACAGGAAGTTTAAACTACCATAGAAAACTGGCTGTTTGATCTATAGAAAAGTAATACCCCCTCTTTAAGTATGGTAACCAAAATTCCATATTCGTCAGCGTATTAAAGTGTGTTACTAGTTGCCATACGTTTTGTGGGGAGTGTTAAGTAATGATGTTGATAATCTTTCTATCAAAAGATATTGAATCAATTTAGATTGTGCGAGTGCATAATCCTTTGCTTACAGTAATTCTTTGCTGAAAGCATAATGTCACATGTGTGCATTAAAAATTATATAAATTAATGGTAGATGCTTTGGGGTATAAATAGAATTAATGGTTCATTTGACTCCATTACTTAAGTTTTATGAGAAAAATTATTGTATGTTACTGGAAATATACTGAAAGCATTTGAGTCAACAAATGTTGGCTATAATTTAAATAAATATGTCTATCACGTTTGAAATGGCAAAATACCTGCATAAAGAACAACAGATATTTCAAATAAACACTGCCCTCTTTAAATGCTACAAAAAAGAATGAGGGTTTCCTGGCCGGCCAATATATGAGGGTTGGCTCCAAGGATCGAAACTCGATATTTTCCAACAATGAAAACGTTGAAATTATAACCGACTATAAATTCAAAATAAACAGTTAAAAAGATTTGAACCAAAATCTCAATCATTTCTTGTGATTTCTTCAAGATTCACGACACGATGTATCATGACATGCCCATATATGGGACAGAATATCGATGTTGCACTCTGGGAGCCAATCCTCCTTGATATGAGGGTATACTGGTGCCATGGGCTGTATCTGTATATTCCCTGGTTCCTTGGCCAATATATCTTTGTTCTTTGGTTTATTTGAAATGTATTGAAAATGAAATCAGCAAGGAATAGTGTAAACAAGCATTTAAATCTGTATATAATGTTTAAGATCATTTTATACTTTAAAATAGAACTACATTCAATAAAAATTTCAAGAGAAAATCCAGCAATGAAATGATAAAATTAATGAAAACATATTTGTCTGTTAATAATCGAATATATAGGAGCGTTAATCAATTTCTTAACAATTCATAAACCAAAGGAGTATTATAATGACACAAATCCTGCTACTTAATTTTAATTTTGTAATAATATAAATATTTAATTTGTAGGCGTTGCTTCGGTCATCCTCTTGCTTTTGCGTGTATACCACAATTTGTTTATTTATGGGTGCTTTATCATTTTGTGGGTTGGTTTTTATAGTTATAAGGGCTTAATAGGGGCTCTTTCATTGATATATTTTAGGTGACCTATCCTATATTTGAATTAACTTCAAAGAAGTAATTAGGTCACATACTGAAAATCAATTCGAGTCATTCAATTTTTTCTTTAGACAATTTTTTAACAATATATAAAATTGATGCCCCTAGGGGCTTGTATACCTCTTGACATGTTACATTTTCAAAATCATTTGATATTTAGAAGTTATAGAGTGTCCAAAACCTGTGCATTAAGAATTCAAGTGAACTTGTCTTCAAATTTGTACTTTTTGAACTAAAAGTGACATGGCACCTTGAATGCTAAATATAGTCACATATATGAGCACACATTATATGATTTTTGTTTTTAAGTACCGAATTTGACATCTTGAATTTGTTTCGTAATTTCTCTCCTTTGAAAATATTCTTCATATTTTGTTTTAAATTAACACCAAAGTCAGTATAAGGGTAAAAATTAGATTAATAATAGCAAATTCTGAAATGAGAAATATCTTGGATGTGTTATTTTAGGAGAATTTTTGGTTTTGATGGTGATATATATATTTGTAAATGTCAAATTGATATTAATTTTCATGATAAGTATTGAATAATTCAGACCCAGTATTTCCATCCATTTATATGCTTTACATGTTGTATTCAAGTTATATACTTAATGAGATTGTGCAATTAAACTTCTGTCTAATAAATTAAAACTAGCAATTCAGTATAAATCTGTATTAAAAGTCTGTATAGAGTTCAGTTTTTGTGTTGCCACCCCATCCCTCCTCTTGATTTCTATGGAAACATGCTTTGAATGTTACATTATATTTGGGTTGGCTTGACAATTATAATACATGTTTGTGTATTGTTTAATAAATATTAATTTTTGTTTTTAGAATTTAAAACCCTATTTGGATGCATGTTTGACAATATTTTGACTAAATAGATTATCTATATATAAAAATTATTTTGTTAACAATTTATGATAGAGTGAACCATAAAATGAAATAGTTATCACGATAAAAACAAAAAATAGTTGCCATGGCAACTGTGGATTGCTATGTTAATATGGGTTGCTATGTAACAGTGGGTTGCTAGGTAACTGATATGTGTTTGTGTGTCTGTTGCTAGGTCTGAGGATCCTCCTGTACAGGGCCCAATCAACAAGGAGCCTGATGACAAACTTTACCCAGGAATGAAGAGAGACTCTGGCATTCGCAAATTGTAAGTAATGTATATCAGAATCATCTCAAAAAGGTCAAGGTCATTTTTAAGTAATGTTTATGTCAAGGTCACATTTTGAGAATCAAATATATTACCCAACCTCAACCTCACCGCAAAGAAAATAGTAGAAATAGCCTAAACTCAAAATATTATAAAATAATGTGCTCAGCACTACCATGACAGTTTTTATTAAAATATATTAGTTGACCCATTATTTTTTAATTCAAACTTCATCATAATTTCTTTTAGTTTAATCACATTGTCATATCATACAGTCTGGTTTCCCATCTTGCACGTCAAAGGGTGAAACATCGAGACAATCCAAGAAATTTCAATGGAATTGCTTGCAGCTTCTTGCTCAAATCTTATATTATTTATAAAAAGTGTGGGCCCATATAAGCTTCAAAAACCCACTAGTCAATCATTTACTGGCTTTGTCAAAGTGAAACTGCCTGTTAGTTTAGTTATTTGACCTAAATGGACATATCACCTTGTAAATATTTTTGGGGGAGGCATGGGGGTAAACTCCCATTATCAACGCCATATTTTAAGAACTACCATCAAAGTGACACTTGATTATTGATTTCAAGAACAGAACAGAACTAAAATTTTGGGAAGGAATTTTTTCAAACTTTCTTTAAATAATGTTAAAATTCTGTCTTCAGTTGCATGGTTATCTATGACTTTTAGCATTTTTTGATAAAGGAATGAGATTAAGGACTCAGTAGACAGTGCAAAGTGTGCTGCTGGTGAAACAACATTTAGCACAGGAACCCTACGAACAAGATTTATTTCATTTATTGCAAAAAGAGTTTTTTGACAGAGATACATGTATGATGAAACATGAAAAAAACATGAATTTCATTAGTAAAGATGATTTTAAAAAATGGTTGATGAGTTGCAACTTATACTTCATATGTACTTGTACAAGATATATTTCTGAATCATTACATTGCAAAGATTTTGTTGAAACATAAAAAACGTGAATTTCCTAAGTATTTCTAAAGATGATTTTGCAAATGTTTAATGAGTTGCAACATGTACTTGTTGGACGCATCAATAATACTAAATGTTCAATTTAAAGCTTTCAAAGGATTTTGGAAAAGCTTAATGAATAACGCATTTGACATGAAAGGTGATGGAACTATAGCATGATGATTGGGGTATTCAATTGTAATTTGTACAAATGTGGCAGTTTTTTTGTTTGTTTTTTATTCAGCAGTAATATTACATACACTTAATACAATATTCTAACAGCTTGATATCCTTTTGGATATATAAAACATTTAATTACAATAGTTTGTTATTATGAAATAATGGCTTGTTCACTATACTACTTCTTGCTGAATCTTATAAAAAACTAAATTTGAATAAGTTCATGTATTATATCAAAAAACTTGGCCACAATAGAAAAGTTTGTTTTTTAAGTAATAAATTGCAATTTAAATATAAAAAATCAGATTTTAATTACATGAGAGGCTGGAAAACATAAGCTTCTCTAAAAACATTTTGTACCTCTTACCTCATAATATTGAATACCCTTAAATTATTATGATGTTGTTAGTGTGCTTAACTCTATCTCTTTCTCTAAATGTTCTCTGAAAATTTCTTTTCTTCTCAGCGAAATATGTTGTGTTTGTATGAAGCTTGCGTCTTGAACATTTTCTGCTTTGTATGTAAAATTTGTCATATTTGTGTCAAGCTTGTATCTAATGTATCAGTTATATTTTGTTCATCATATGTATTAGAATCATAAGCTCTTAAGCATCTAATGTTTGATGTGTTGTTTTGCGCAACCACATTTTCCAATTTTTTACAATAAGGATGTACATGTATATTTGGTTAAATTGTCTCATTTTCACATGGGCCTATGCAATCGCCCATCTCTGTCTAACCTTCTTTGAACAATTGATCAATTAATGCCTTCGTATCATAACTAAAAAAGGTATGTTATTGTCATCAGTTTTTTTCACCATGTGAGATAATCAAATGGTGCCATTTTTCAACATTTTTGTGTTGTTACACTCTTACTATCTTCTTTTGGCTTTATTCTTTCAGTGTACAATGTTTTCCTTCAATGTGAATGAAAACTATATTTAGTCTCAATTCAAGGACTTTAGATATGATTGTGTACAAAGTCTTCCTTAAATGTGCATGAAAACTATCTCTAGTGTCAATTCAAGAACTTTTCATACAAACATAAGATTGTTTGATTTTCAGACTTTATTTCTCATGATTTCTGTCGCTCAACTTTAAGTTGCTAATGAAAATCCAAGTTAAGACTTCTCAAAGAAGGAAAAAGTCACACAAATCACTACATCAATCAAAAACATTTCTAGCAGCATCTCATTCACAATACTTTTGCTACAGATCTTAGAAGCGCTTATAATATGCAGATGCTTTCATCAGATGAATTTAATCTTGTTATGGAACAAAGGAACACTTTTTGGAAAGATTATATAAATTCTGTGTCCAGATCATTTAACATGTTTAACCAGTTGAATATCAGGCTCTAAAAAGGGTGCATTTTTCTGTTTTTGCAATTTTTAAACATTTTACAATCAGATATGTGACGAGGTCAAATAGAGTTTCTCTGTGTTCAATTGACATTAAAAATGATGTAGCAAATTTGTAGGTGAAACTTTATATCTGTCTTGTTTGAAATTTATTTTCCTTTTGTTTTCAGCTTCCAGTTTATTTTTGGTGATGGTCAAAATGACACGAGGCAACGGAAACACAGTACACAAGAGCGCAACCTACCACGATGACATCATCATACAACATCTGAGAGTCTCCTTTCAACATTCGCCAAATCAGTCTTGTATGCTGCCACCTATAAGGACTTCTAGGAACTAACAAAAGAAGCTCTGTAATGTTTGCGAGAAACTAATATGTGGCGTGTCATGAAATAATGCACAGTTGTAAAATCCTGTTATATCTAGGGATATTCACATTCGATTCAATGGAAAATGTATTTTAGTAATAATTAGCATTGAAATTGACAATGACGCTTATGTGTGCTCAGCGCTTGCTTCTGCTTATGATATACTCCAATGTTACCAGGAAAGGTTCACTTTGACATAATTGTCATTTTCAGCATGGTAATCTCTTTTACTTTTAAATGATCAGCTCAAAGTTTGTAATGGTAGGGTTGAATGCATATATGTTCAATGCACAATAATTTGTCTAAAATTATACAGACAAGCCATATATGGTATCACCACCTTATTGACCAATTAGACCAATTTTGTGGCATTTGGATCTGAGGTAATGTACATATCTATGATCCATGATGTGTTCAGCCACTGAATTAAGAATAGTCCAATTGAATTACTTGTACATTGTTCTTAATGCTTTGTTTGTTCTGTCACAATTTACTTTGTGATGTCACCATTTACTTTATGACACCACAATTGACTCTATTTATCGACGCATTTGCTTTCCTACAAATGTAACATTATACTCAAATATTACATCAGGTATTATATAACAATGTTAAAATTCATGTAAAATAAAAAAAAACATTAAAATGGAAATATCTTTGCAGTGGAAAATATTATTGAACAAGGTTTTGTTTGTATTTGTTTTATATTTATTATTTTATAGACAAAATAACTGAACAACCCCGAGTTGCATTTTTATTTAGAAACTCAAACAAGTTCAAACATTTACATATTTTTATTTATTTATTAGCTGTTTAACACTCGACCAGTGTTTTTAGTACTTATTATTAAATTTCTCAGTTTAATAACATTAAGGATGTTTTGAAAAGGTAAACAAGAAAATTTCATTTTTTTGTTGGCATATTTCAGCTCAAAACATTGTAACAACGACATTAAATGGTATTGTATTGTAAGAATCTGACAAATAACACAAATTTTTCGGTGTTATTTCAAGAAGTAATATTTTATGAATTTTATTTCTTAAAACAAAGGTTATACATATGTTAGATATCACTTTAGTTATATTAATATTATTCACTGTAACAATTGTCACTTAACTGTAACAACTGTCACAAGGTCATAAGGATTCCTCGCATACTGCACTGGTCAAATTTGAATTGCCATTTTATTTACTGATGAGTGTAGATTTGGAATAGAATATGCAGCTCCTATTTCGTTATCCTGCATATAGGTTTCATGAAATATTATACCAAGTGCAATGTAATAAAATCAAAATCAGGTTTTAGTAGTAAACTTAAGGATGTTCCCTGGAGCATTATAGTATTTTGTTATGGGGTATTCTTAAATATTGTTATCTAAGATCATAAAGTATGACTACTGGGTTTTAGGATAAATAATAGCTGTGACCTTGGCCTGCGGCTATTAGTTCTTCTAGACCCAGTACAAATGTACAAATGGTTTATCTAACTTAAACCTCACACCCCAGAATGCACTCTTCTTTGTTACATCTGTACATTCTTTCAAATAAACTACACTCCATTCTTTTGTGATGCTATCTAAGTGGGGTTTAAATCACAATAACATGTGTTTAAAGGCCTTTTCATAGCCAATTGCCCCTAAAGTGTCATTTTTGATAAAAGAGAATGTGGCCCATCCCCAATAAAAAAAATTGATCCAATAAAAATTTTGGATCAGTATCCAACATTTTTAGCTATGTCCAGGGGACATCCTTTAAGTGTAATGTAGTAGTAGAATAAATGTACACCTAACCCTAGTCATATTATCTTGCATAATACTGTACCAATTTGATATAAATGATGGTTGGATACAGGTTTTACACACTGAGTGCTGTATGAAACACTGCATCCTCATTGCAAACCCAAGCACTCATTGTAAACACTCATTGCATCCCCATGCACTCAGTGTAAACACTCGTCGTTTTGTTGAAATAGCAAATACTAAAGGCATTAGTAGTGCACAGCTGTGTATTTTAAAATGTATTGTGGAGTAATCGAATTATACAGCCATATCACATTCAGTGTATTATATATAAATTATATATATATAAGATATATGAGTATATATTATATATAAAGTGAAACTAAAAGAGAGTGGCAGAAATTATATTAAGAATTAGAAAATTTAATTATTATATTTTGGTTGTGATTCTACCAGCTTTCACATGTCGATTTTAAATTTTTCTGACTTTTAATATTTAAGGGGTCTTGTGTTAGATAATATAATTTTATGTTGCTGAACTTTATTACATTTGCATTATTTTTGAAGAATAGAGTTGTCATGGATACCCAATTTTTTTAACTGTTCTGAAAGTTGAATTTTGTGTTCTCTGAAATACTTAAGAGGCTATAGTAAGTTGTCTACATATGAGCCAAATAGGCAATTTAAACTGGATATATATTTCTTAAATTACACTCGAATGTTCAATCTTTTTTGGGGTCAAGCCATATTTATTAATGATCTCAGTAAATCTAAAGAATTAAAATCCAAAAATTCAGTTCTATGACATTTCAAGTATTGAGATCCTAGTCAGCCCCATGTATTGAAAGCAAGGCCCTTTAACTTTAAAGAACATATTTTAATCCAGGTCGATTTTATGTTCATTTGATGATCATGCTATACATACAATACATACATTGTATTTGCTCTGTGTAAAATATAATGCATATGAAAATATATTGGTACCACATGAACATGTACTGTATATACTCGTGAAATATTGTATCATACAGATTACACTCCCCTCCAAAATGTTGGCTATCCTGACGTCCTTTGGGATAGCCTTATACTGTTTGAATTTTGCAGGTGGTTAAACAGGGTAGTCAGTGATACCAAACTTTTATGGGGGAGTGTTTCATAATAATTATGAATATTGTACAGTGGAAAAAGGAAGGTGTAAAAAATCTCAATTTAACTTATCTATTAAGTAGCTGATTCCTGGACAGAATATCAATGAATAATATAGAAATAAAAAATACATGTATTTGAAATTATCCATTTTTGAATTCTTTGAACACAGAGAGAATTTTAGTTGAGCTTTTGCAATCATTTGTGACTCTCCAGCACAGATTTCTTGTAGGTTTTATCTAATAGAAACATAAACGTCAAGATGACATCTATAAAGTTGCTAAAAGAAAATTTTTGAATAAAAAGGGATAAATTTATCATAAATCAGTAAAAAAAACTGTTTGAGTATAGAAATATATCAAAGTTATTAGAACTCAAACAATTTGTTTGTTACAACACATTGACATACTGCATTTATTAAGCACATAGGCCTATATTGTACAACATACATCACTATATTTGCTTGGATAATAGCCATGATAAATAATGCCACAATAAATGATTCTGGACACCATGTATATGTTTTGTTTTTATCAAGGGGCAACCTGAGATTTTATTTTTACAAGCTCTTAAAAATGCAACAATGAAAGCATATTAGAATGGTTTTGGGATGTACAGGATGTCCATGGCGTATTGTAACTGTAAAGAAGATCCTTGGACACCCTGTATATTGTTTTTATCAAGGTGCAACCCGAGTTCTTATTCTCACAAACTCTTGGGTATTAAACTATCAAGAATGAAGTTGTATTAGAATGATTTTAGATGTACAGAGTGTCTACAAAGTCTACAATTTACCCAGACTTTGCATGAAATTGTAAAGTCATTATGGACACCCTGTATATTGTATCAACTACAAGCGATTACTTTTAAATTTTAATATTAAACTTTTAGTATTCTAGCTTATATAAGACATTTATAAGACATTTAAGAATATATGCATGGTATTCCAAAAATAGGGTGTCCAAGAATAAAATTTTATTTATCGCATTTTCTTCTATTTCTGAATACCCTATATAAAGTGTGTGCAACTAATGCTTTAAATGTGCTGAAAGGAAATTCTTAGATGTTGTTGTATCCTGATTATAGTTACTATGGTAACGTATTTTGTTTAATTATCAAACGTTATGTCATTGATCAATACGCATTTCTGGAGTTTAATTTTTTTCCTTAAAAGAGAGCTTCATCTTCACTCTTTAACCAAATTAGATTACTATTGTTGGATAAAAATTCAGCTAAATGAAATCATTGTTTTAAATTTCAAATCTAGGCCTATAAAAAAATATTACGTTATAGTACAAACAGCCAATCCCATTACATTACTGACATGACATGAGTAATAGTATTGAGATTTTGCATTCATAGTAATGAAAATAGAAATCTATTTCTATGGTATTGTATTTTTTCGTTAACTGCATGAAATTATCAAAAGTGAATTTTTACTACAGTAAAAGTATTCCATGAGAAAAATGTTATGAAGATCGCATGATTGTATTCCTTGCAAATGTTCTCTAAAGTTTGAATGAACCATGTGCTGTACAATGAACCATTGCTATACAATTTAGAGTATCAGCCTCGTACCTAATTACCCTGTTACTTGCTCTTTGTATTTGTTTTTTCTCTATTTCTCAGTTTAAGACCTGATCAAAATGACATTTTTCTCATTGGTTATATTGCTTTTTCAGCAAACCACCAATTGAAAATCTGAATAATTCTCAATTTACATTTTTCTGAACGGAATATTTGAGGTATGTGTATGATTTGTGAATCTTGTTTGTGAAATAAAGTATTTGACATGAATGGAAAACATGATTCTTGTTTTGATAAACTATGAGACCAAACGGTATTTCTAGTTTTGAAACTGCACTTTTGCAGATCTAGCCCCATAACATTTTTGAAAATATCTAAGACGACCCCAAAACTGGGAATACAATTTTTTATTCCAATGTCTCTCTGATATTTCCTGCTTATCATGAAAGGCATGCGTAATGGAGAGGTTAAGCTACGCGTTTTTGTGAGTTTTATTGTGAGTTTTACGTAAATGTTATGTTCCTCTGGGATCAGTTATCTTCATATTTGCCAGATTGAATTGAGGTTATACAAACATCATAAGGACATTATAAGGATATTGTTAACACAATCGAGAGGGGGACAGTAAGCTTAATACCTTATACAATACCTTTATACTCAGTCAGGCAGCAAATACTAAAAATGAAAATGGGGAGAACTGTTAACTGTACCTATAGAGGCCATAATTTTACACGTTCGCGTATTTCACTTTAGTTTTCCTAAAACGTGTAGCTTAACCTTTTTAATGAGTGTAGTATTCCCGATTTAGCTTTACGTTCGTCAAGAAAACATATTTCCTCGGGACAATCTATGGGCTTAGATACAAAATACACACCAACGACTCAATTTTGGGCTACTTTTCATCTTGGCAAAATCCAAATCATGATAATACACGGGTGTTAAAACACGAATATACCATGAGCACATGCTTTGAGGATCCGCGTTGTTTGAACCTACCGCCGAGCACACTTATACATTAAGACCCGTTACAAAGTCATGATACCGCCGAGCAAGCTCATTGCATCCTCGGGTCTGCTTTACCCCGTGATAATAACAACAAGAAACTGTATCGAGGCAGCATGTTCTTGACGTCAGAGGTGAACAGAAACCTTGATTCCTTGAAAAGTTTGTGATATGACGTCATCCCGCATCACGTGATTCAATCAAGTTCGCAACGTGACGTCATGCTTCAACTTCCTAAAATTATACGTAACAAATATATCCATACCAACGGTCAGCTATTCCTTTTTATTATGGCTCGCTGTCAATGTCAGCAAGTTGAAGCTGGAGCGCCACAGAAATGACTTGGAAAGGTAATATAATGTAATTAAACTTTCGATAATAGCTCAGAATAGAAGTATCCTCAAATTATATCAGAGAGAGATGCAGAATTTCGAAATGAGAAACCTATTGTGCATTCGTCTAAAAGTCAACGATGAAAAATGATCAGTGAAAATCGTTGGAAATGAAACCATGCATTTCGAACCTACGGTCATTTATGAACACTTTTTCTTGAGGCATAATTTATACTCAACCAGCCATTTGGAGTGAAGGCATATAAATAAAATTAGAAGATAATAACCCTTGAGGGCCTTATCTCGTACCAAAACCATCTCTTCATTCAGATGGAGATGGGCTTGGAACGAGATAACTAAATGGGGGCCAAAGTGAACACATTTATAAATGACGTGGCCATGGCCTCACCAACTATAGGTACGGGATTAAGTATAGCTTCTTAATTCCAGACACATTTTTGTGGCAGCAAGTCTTCATCGCCGCAATATTGATTGTGACCTGTGGGGGTACGCCTGATGCGAAATGTTCGAAACCACCCGATGACTTTATAGGACGATTTCGAATTTCGCTCAGACGTGGACGCGATGTTGAGATCACAAAAGACGGAATATATGCCACTGGACCAACACCAAATGTACACGATGCTACCAATCTTAAGGGAGGTTATGCATTTTGTAAGTAACTTGCGTCAATTTGTGACGGCCCTACTCGTGTATATCTATCAATTATTAGAACCATCATTTACCACTCCTACCCTAACGAAACTAACTTGCTATTCCGTAACAGTTGATGAATTGACAACACGACTTACAATAAATATTAGCTGTAGCTGTTTCCATATAAAATAAATGACCTCTTCTCGAGCATTGGTATCTATCTACCTAAGTATTTGTTTTGGGAGATAATATTGATTTCTAACAATATTACATTGGAAAACATTAGCGTTATGGTCAGATTTAAATATTTAATGTATTTAAAATATTTGTTTTATTTTTAGGGATTACAAACAAGAATCTAACATTTGAACAAAAAACCTGCACAGATAATTGGATGACAGTTGTATTTGGGCAAAGCCTAGAAGGGTAAGATCTTGTTTAAGTGGCCTAAATAATTGTTCAATCCAAGAATACAAAAATGGTAATTTCATATAATTTATGAACAGGCTAATAAGAAAAAATACCTTTGCTCCATCAAGAGACGTACATTTCTCTCGGGAAAATTTCAAAACCTCGAAATAAACAACCTTTGTATACGAACGATCCAAAGTCACTATGTTTGAGTGTATGAAAAAGGCTATTGTGTTTTGGGCATTTGGTTGTTATATCTAATTTTATTTTGGATTTCCACACATCATTTCGCTTATACAATCAAGCTCATGTTGTTATAGCCCAGTAAACCACCAAGATGCAATATCAACAAAACGTATTGTTTTTGTTTACAGTAATAAAATGGCGTACCAATGTCTTCAACTGACAAAAGATGAAGTACCAGACCAACTCAGAGCAAGATTTGTATATGACGCATGTAAGTGTAGAAACTTCCATTAATGAAATCGAGGACTTTATTCGATCGAGTCTGATTTAGGTAGCATTTGCCAATTCATCTGCCGGATGACGGATTAACCCACTATTTTATGGCATTTGAACATGAATAGTACCTGCCACTAGCGAGTGCTACCTTAGAAACGTTTATTGACGTTTCCCTCGTTCGGTTCAGTTAAAAATCTGGTGGGATTGAAGGTTTCTTCTAAAAAAATTGGAAAGATTTATTTTGCGCCAAATGAGAATGAGAACAGAAACAGGCCTGTTTCACAAGTTGTATTTGACCTACTTACAATAATAGAATACGACAAAAGTTAATATACGCTTTTAAAGATATTTCCCTCGCTCGCTATGCATTAGTGTTGAAGCAGTTGAATTGTGAACTAATATTTTGTATTTAAGCTATCACTGCCAAGAATAAGGCTTCTGTGGATTGCAACGATCTTCCTCGCAAAGACCAGCCAAGCGATGTTTACCCAAGAAACCGTGTTCTAAAAACCATGTTCACAAAACTTAAGAAAGGACCAAAACGTGTTGAACGAAGCGCTGCCAAAGAAAAACTACTGATAGAAGATATGAAGAAATGGTGTCATGCTGCACACAAAGGCACTAATCCTAATAGAAAGAAATGCAAACAATTAACTCAAAATGGAAAAGAATTAGCTTCAAAATTTGCTGATCCGGAGCTTCAAATGAGCTTCTTGTTGTATCCTATGATATCTAAAGAGTGCTCGCATCGGAAAAATTATAAAAAATGTGACGCTTTCTTTGCCGAAGTTGGGAAAAAACAAAATGTCGAGATACCAATAGCTTGGTCTAAAAAGGAACTGACATTTATTGAACTATTGAGTCAGCACTGTGCAAGAAAACCAATTCTGTCCATCACGGTGAGCAACTGTATGTTACACCTTAAGAAAACACTGAAAAACGTTTCCAAAGAGAAAGATCACATAAAACGTAAGGATGCTATCAAAGAATCATTTGTTACAAATTGCAAACCATCGCCAGATGCGGAAGGATGTAGATGGGACATTCTATCTATAGTGAAGAAGGTCTGGAATGATGACCCGGCTATAAAAGGACTTCCGGAAAAGCGACCATCACCACTTTTACGGACCGATACAAATCCCCTTTTACGAGCCCCTGCAAATCCTAATCTCAGAACAGACACCACCACTGCTGGTAGTCCTACTACGGCGCCTAGTGCTGCTAGCCCAACTACAGCGCCAGGTGCGCCTGCTAGCGCAACTACAGCGCCAGATGCGCCTGCTAGCCCGAACGCGACACTTACGACTGCTAGACCTACCACGGCGAATGTTATTCCTAGTAGAGCGCCTATCACATCGACCACAACAGACACGGTCGCCAATGTGCCTCCCGTGGCTAATGCTCAAAGGAGGGCACCAAAGGGGGTGGTCTTGTATGGTCTTGCCGGTGGAATCTCGATTTTCACTTTGATGTGTTTTATATGTTATGCAGTGTGTACATGTGATTGTGAGAAAAGAAAGAAGAAAGGTGATGACGTTGAGAAAATGATAAACCTGGCCTCCATCGGGAACCTTGCGAGCAGAATATCACAGAATCGCGGTAGTAAAATATCACAGAATAGCGGTAGTAAAATATCAAAGAATAGCGGTAGTAAAATATCACAGAAGGGCTCCAGTAGAATGTCACAGATAAACGCGAGTAAAATGTCACAGAGTGGCGCGAGTAGAATGTCTCAGAATAACGCGAGTAGAATGTCGCAGGGAAACATATATAACCAAGTTGATACGGGTGAATATGAAAATTATGACAATTACGGACTTGTTGAAACAGGAGGCCAATGGCTTGATGAGAATTACAACAACAACGAGGGCAGAAAAGCAAGAAAATCCAAAAAATGCTCAAAGAAAGAAAAATCGCCTAAATAATATGCAATACACTCCCATCCATATATTTGGCATTCTGAAGTCCCCTTTCGGATGACTTATCAATATGTTTAGCAATATAAGACAACAAAGTCATAAATTTCCAAACTTTTTTAATGAAAACCAATGGACCTTTTATGAACCCATAAAAATATTACTTAACAATATCTTGGGGTTTAAAGATGGCTGTATTCATCTATTATGATAAACATTAGTACAAAGGCAGTTATACAATTATTTTTTACGTTCTCTTCAAAGGTATATTTCTACAATTTTCACTTTTATTTGAAACAACCAAGTTGTCAACCTAGCTATACAAGTAAATAGTCCTCGTTTGTATTCACATTTATTGTCATGTTATTTTCATTATTTTACATGTATAAAAAATCAAAATAAATAAGTAAACAGAACGTTAACGTTCATCAATACAAGCTTGATGTGTCACGTGTTTCGGCGAGATGAATTAATAATTTTCCTCTTTTCTGGAAATTCCCCTGTGGAATTTTCCATTCTTTTGAGCTCTTCTTCTTTATCTTTTCATGTTCAATATTTTGTATCCTCCAAACAGTAAAATATCAACTTTCGGAAAAAATATTTTTAGATTATTATTTTGAGTAGTAAAAGTACTTAATAGAAGCGTTTAGATCATCACTATTTAATTTTTGATACATTTCAATTGTCTTTGTAAAGCGTTGAGCATGTGTTGGAGGATCCAAAATGACTTTAAAATATGTGAAATATAAACGTACAATCAAAAGTATTCAAGTGTTTCAACGTATTTTATGTTTATATTTAGATTACAGCAAAGTATGAGTCATTGCCAAGCCAGGAAACAATATATTTAACTCTCAGTTTCATATATGATCATGTTATAACTTTGATCACTTATTGATCACCCCTCGTATATGACATATAACTTTGTGGAAATAGCGATGCATGTTAATAACTTGCACAAGGATCTTGGAGTTGCACTTTTAGCTAAAATGCATTGTATAATTATGTAAGCAGGATGCTGATTGGTTCATAATATTCATAAAATTCACTTCTTAATGGGCGTAATTAACGCCTACACGGGCGTAAATTACGTCTACACGGGCGTAATTTTACGTCTGCACGGGCGTAATTAACGCTTACACACCCGTAAACAACGCGTGCAAACATAGGGTAGGTTGGCAAACCATACACATAAACCAATCGGCCTGGCGTGAAGAAAACGCCACTAAGAAAATAAGTGGACTGCCATCTATAAACGAGTCCAGACTCCGATCGTCAGCTTATTTCTAAAAATGTACATGTTTACCACTGACATTACTTACAAAGGGAAATCGAAGAAGTGCATTTAATGGAATTATTCCCAGAAAACGTTTTAGCGGTTTTTCATCATCAAAGAACTGCATGTTTTTAGATTGTTTAGTTTTAAATTAAATTCTCGTCGATCTATCCTGTTCCATATAAACGATTTATCCAGACCATGGGCAATCCATTAACAAAGGTCAAAGATTTTACGAATAAAACAGTTTACTGTGAATTTAGCAAACATTCCAATTCTATTTGATGATAGAGACGTTACTTCTCTAACTACTGTTCAGTAGTAGCCTATTACTGTATATACAAGTTCTAGTATTACTGCTACTAGCAGGCCCGTAGCCAGGATTTGCCAAGGGTGGGAGGTCACTTTTTGAAAAATTCCATGGGAGGGTTCACTTTTGAGAATTTTGATCCAAATGGGGCAAAATCACTTAAAAAGTGCTCAGAATGGTGAAAAACTACATGATTTTGAAAGAATTTTTGCCCCCCCCCTGGCTACAGGCCTGACTGGTTACAATTTATAGATGTTTGCATGCCGCTATGTTAACGTCCTAGTACTTTGTCCATCTTCGATCCTCCTGCGGAGCCTGAAATCGAACCCAATTTAATTTGGCCTGCTTTATCTGAATTTGGAGCACTGTTCACTTTAGTTTGAGCCTCTGTCTCACTCATGCTCATAGTAGATGTATTTGTTCTTGTCGTTCCCTTGTAAACTGATTTCTTTCCACAAAATAGCTCTCGCAACGAATCACGGAATTTCCTTCCACCCACGCAGTACATGAAGAAATTCACAGCGCTGTTCAGATACATTAACATATTCACGATGGTAAAGACTAAGACTTCGTGTGCCTCTTCAGCCAACGTTTGCGGTGCTTGCTTCTCCGGGTTGAGTCTTAGTGTTAGCTTACGTATGAGTTCAACCACAACTGGGGATGTGAGACAGAGAAACACGAATGATATTGTCACAAGCATAATTGTCATAGATCGCATCGTGTCATCCTGTTTTGAATTCGAAACGTTCATTTGCTTTTTTCGCATCCTACCTGCTCTCAACAGCTGGAGTGATATCAAGATATTGCAAATGATCAAAACAGCGAACGGTATAAGTGAAGCGATTGCCGCATCTATCCATGGCCAGTACCTTTGATGGAATTCTTCAAATCCCTCCTGGTAGTAGCAATTTACTGGGTATTCCTTACCCATATAGAGGAAAACCCGCTTTCCAACTGTAAAAAGCCAGTGACAGTTCACGCCCATGATGAACAGCGTAACGATACATATGCTAATTATGGTCTTCCTTTTAGTGCAGATCGACTTGGCCTTTAAGGGCAAATAAACAAGGATGACCCTATCAACAGTGACACAGACCAACATCCATGCGGACAAGTCAATGAAAGTGTACGTAAAGAAAAAGTGAAGTTTGCATCCCCACTCATTAAAATCGTTCCTTAAACTAACGTCAAAGGCGGAATAAGACCACCTGTATCCTAAACCAACGATAAGTACCCCAATGTCGAATATCGCCAAGGCACAAAGATACAAGGACGAATTTGCGCGCTTCATACTCGTTCGTGTCAACACGAGTAGTGATAAGATATTCCCAATCAATCCTAAGATAATCAAGAATGGTGAAAAATAGATATCCAGATTATTCGCTATTTGGTAAGCCAAAAAGTCCTCAATTGTTGGGGCCTTGACGGTAGTTGTTGTGATTGTCGAGTTCGGAAAACTCGAATTCGAATAGTTCTGGAATGAAGCATTTCCAATCAGTCCAGCCGTTGAAAAGTCCATTCTCATGCTTGTTAGGACTGGAGACAAGTTAGTAGGTATTGAAGTTGTGATGTCTGAAGAATTCGGCGTCTGAATAATTCCATCGCTCGCCATTTTCGGAGCTATCCTCCAGTCCTCTATCTATCTCCGGATCTCAAATCATAAAAACTAATTCCTGATTTGCTCTCTCATTACTATTTATAATAGATTAACTGTATCACGATGTTGATTGGTTAGTCGGATATTTGAAAACAACCAACCAAAAACGTTTAGAGGGTCTTACCCAAATGAAATAGGCCTTTTATATTTGAGATACAGTCTGATTAAATGTATATGTGGATTTATTATTCCTTTAAACAATTGGAAAAATTGCCATTCGCAATCAACGAATTACATCAAATAAAAAAGACACTTAATGGTATTAAGTCAAAGAAGGTATTATTGGAGATCAATATCTGACGTACGTGCACACTGTATACCGTAACTCTCAACCTCGATGGGAATATAACAATCTCACTGGGGAGTATCGTGATGCAACAACACCGTGTTGTTGCATCAAGATGGCCAGACTTCCGGTGATAGATTTTCGTACGATATGTTGTTTCCCCAATTTAAACCCATTTCAAGGACGAGTTTCTCAATAACCATACACGTGAAGTTAGCGCACGATCTATATTTAAAGAAACTGTCATTGGTATACATGTAGCATCATCAAGAAGCGAGAAGTTCACGGTTTTAGTTCCTCACTATTGATGCAACAACACCAAACCGAAGATGCAACAACACTCCTCTAGATTTGAGCAATGATGCAACAACACCAATTAATAGTATAATTTCAGAAGACCATAAATCTCGAGAGGAACAGATTTTTAAATGCTACTATTGCAACACCGGGCCAGTACCCATTTGCATTCTTCTCAGGCATTCAAAATACACGTCCCGCGGGCGAAGATTCTTTATATGTATTTTCAAAAATTTATACTTTTAAAAATCATAATGTACTGGAAGTTGTTTTATAACATAGTTCAATCGCCTTTAACATTGCAAGCTATAGTAACCCAATCTATTATCATAAACCCCTGTTCCATAGCTTGATGACCCTGATCCAGTTAGTATCATTCAAAATGGTGGACAAACATCTTTCGTTCTCGGTAAACACGACGAGCTATTGGAAATCTTGCACGGCGCACATGTAGAAGTATTGTTCTCTTTGGATTCGTTCTCCCCAATTGAGTAAAAAGGTAGGTAATAGGATTTAGGTCCCGAAAAGGTAAATTAATAGGGGTACAGTAATCCCAGATTCCCCCTGGGCCCTCGGGAAATATCATAATGTGTCCCGGAATAAAACCAATATTGAATCCCTCTCAGTAAATAACCTCGCTCTATATAATAGCATTGTATAACTGCAATATCATTAAACCTACACTCATCGGAAGTTATGGCGTTTTGAAAACTCAAAATCGCTAAATTTGGTGCCCCATGTTAAGTCAATGGGAAAACGACGAGCTATCCTACTATTCTATCCTATCGTTCCTTCTTATTCTATCCTATCCTTCCTATCCTATCCCTTTTATCCCTATCCGTTCCTTTCTATCTATCCTTCATATCCTTTCCTTCCTATCTATCTATCCTTCCTATCCTTTCCTTCCATTCCTTCATATCCTTTCCTTCCTATCCTTCCTATCTTATCCTTCCTTGCTATTCTATCCTATCTTTCTTCTCTATTCTCTCCTATCATTCCACAGATCCGGAGCCAGATCCAGCCCCTGTTGGTAGTAGGCTCAAAGAATAAATGGGAAGATGAGACACGAGCCAAAAGTGGCACATCAAAAAAATGACCACCCAAAAATATGACCCTCGTACTGACCTTTATTTTTTCCATCTGTCAGACATTGATTGATCAATATTTACCCTGTAATCTCTTCTTTATGTATTAGTTTGAATGGTTGCATGATATCCATTATTGACGCTGTAATTCGACTTTTCCCGGGACATTTATTTCGAATTTTCAGAGCGTAAAGATAATGGAGCACTTCGGTAATTTCCGGCAGTGTCCGATGTTGTTCGTCTCTCAAATTACGTCACATCGCAACAAACAGCCAATGAAAGTAAAGAATCGCGTAGCCTAATAAACCGTCGTTATTGTTTCTACGGGAGTTTAAAGAAACGTCATGGGACTTCTCGGTAATCTCTGATGTGACGTCATCCGGAGTGGCGTCACATTCTCAGAAAAGGCATTTGACTTCGGGAATAATCATTTGAACAACGGAGATAGCCGAAGTGCTCCATTAAATATACGCTCGCTTATTTTATGCTTTTATCAACAGACGCTTTCTTGGATGTTTGGCTTTAGTGATTGGAGTTGAAGGTAACAACAGTACGCATCGTTTGAGGTATGACATGTGATATTTATTGAAAAACTGACTCCAAAATCAAGGAAAAATAAATTTTCCGAAGATCTCGTGTCTTATCCTTGAGTATATTTATTGAGCCTAGACACAGAGGAGCTTTTCTGGCAGAGGTCCGTGTATCATTCCATCCTATTCTGTCCTATCCCAGCTGGGCGGCCAAACCAAAATATGACGTCACGATTATCACTACGCGCCGGTGATTAAAAAATGACGGAATATGTCCAGAATCCCCACTTCCCGAATAGATTTTCTAATCCTGCAAAAACTACAGAATATTTACACTTTATACTTAGCAGAGACATAAAGTATAGTTTCTTTTTACGATTTAAATAGGTTTCGATCGCGCGACTTCTATATAAGTAGGGTAATTGCAACTTTCATTGCGAGAATTTTGAAGACCCCTTGGAACAATCGAATAAAAACCACTAGTTCGGTAGGCAGTTTGAACTGTTGTTTTCAACTTGAACATGTATTTTCAGATTTCACGGTGTAATTTCATAAGTTATGACGCGAGTGGTTTATGTCCCTTCATATAAGTGTGTCTGTGTCTCTACTAGACAGGTTCGCTGGACATTTAGTTGTGAGTTGTCCTCTGACTCGATTTGGAATCAGCTGAATGGCGATTTTCCTTCTGACATTCGATGAGTTTAGTGAGCTATTCAACCGACTTCCAACGAGATAAAAAGAAAGTCTATGCCATATAGGTACTGCAAATATCTTAAAACTGCATATCACGCATATCATTTGTATTTAATCGGCTCTTTACCGTCTCCTGATGTCTATTCTAGAGTGAGCATCTACAGTATAATATATGATGTACTTGTCAAATACATTCCACAGAAATGTTGGTCAATGATACCGGTCACTGAGTACAGTGACCCAAAAGGCAAATTATAACATACCGATTACTAGTAGTACCCGGTTACCATAGCATAGAAAATATAAATTCTATTGGTAAATTGTAACTAAATCAGAAAACTAATCAAATAACGTTAATTGTGATTTTCAACTGAATTTAGCTATTAAAATTGGAATCAATGCTGGGACATAAATAAGGAATGACAGACCTAGTGTTAAATAGTCACTGCAAGAGGTTACATTTCTTCACTGATTTATCACTGGAGGATCCAATCACTCCATTGTAGGATACTTTTTAATTGGTTGCTAATGGTAAAAATAGCTTGAGAATAAAAAGTCTCAGAGCAAAATCTAGAAAGACTGAAAATTCATTTTATTTCCACAAAAGAATATACTAGTATCAGATAGGTTGAATATGGTGTTCCATCGATTTGAGAATAAAATATAAAATTTAGAATAGAATTTATGCCTGGACTTGAATAAAAGGAGACGTTGCTGTTTGGAGAACAGTCTACTGGGCTTATAATTTTTTATGAAAAATGTAGAAATATCAACCAAATTAAATCATGAATATTCAAAAGAAGACACTTAATTCTGCAAGATATAAAAATATCACAATTGTTCGAAGCAGGGGTAACGTGCAGTCGACCGATTCAATAAAATACAGGTCTAGATTTGGAGAAAGAAGTTCATCAGTTTACTGCACTCATAATTTTTTTTATGAAATATCACCCAAATTAAATTAAAATGACTATTCAAAAGAAGACATTGAAATCTAGCCTAAATAATGTAAAAAAAAAATTGTCCAAAGCAGGGGTAAGGCTAGAGCGATGAACTTCGTTCTCCAAATCGAGAATAGTCATTTTTGAAAAATTTATACATAGCAGTTGTAACAGAATTATGCCTGGTACATACTTTTGCTCTAATAATGCAATATTTAATGTTTTCATGCTGGGGATATAATTTCAAATTTTGTAAAAATTATACTAACAAATATGACACAGACAGATGTTATAATTATTTGAAATATTATCAATAATTCACTTTATTTTCATATTCAATACAATTTATATAATATTGCATGTGTTCAATATAGCAGAACTTAATTGATACCTTCTAAACCATACTATAACGGATTTACTATAGGGAATTCATCTTATAAGTGATTTTAAAGTGTGCCCCAATTTCAGACACAGATAGACATGATAGAAATAAATGTAGATCTAGACAGACAGGAAGTGGGTAATTGAAAAACTGACCAAATGACAATAAAACTTGATTCATTTGACCAAGATTTTTAGAATGAGGATATTCTCAAAATTTCAGTTTTCATGAATCTCGTTCTATTTTTTTAACAGAAAATAATAGGACAAGACAAAAAGTAATAATAAATATCACTCTCAAGGAGCATAGCACCAGTAGATTTTTATTAAGTTCTATCCTTCAGAGTTCCAAAAGTTAGTCAGCTATAGACTTTGAAGCGGGCTTTGAAGCTGTACATTAAAGTTGTACAAATTCAAATTGAATACCATGAGTGGAAAACATTTTGATGAAAAGATTGATTGAAAAATTCAAAATGGAGGCCATGTGAAATAACTGATAGGTTGTTTTCTTGGTATTTCAATGACAAGTCGAGAAATATGTGGCATCCATCCAACAGGTTGCATGTTGATTAGCAGAAAATGAGAATAAAAACATGTAAAAATTACATTTAACACTTTTTCAAAAATCATAATTTCATAATTCCAGCCACATATTTCCAACCCTTTTTGTCAACACAGCCCCTGTGGGGGGTCATGCCAAAAACACATAGATTCAATGGATAGACAACCAAAATTTTAGATA